TGAATGAATCAATTACACTTATTTAAAAGTATTCAAAGAATGATTTTTGGAAATTTTAAGAATTAGAAATATATTTGATTTTCTGTTGTCATTTTTTATTTTAAGAATATTTATCATTTTTTTTTTTTGGCAAACTGTTAGTAAATATAGTTATAAGTGAATCGATTCATTTTATAATAAATAAAAAATGCAAACATATTTAATACAAATATTACAAATTAAATTCTTGAAGAGCAAAGATTAAAATAAACAGATATTTAATTTAGACTATGTAATTGTCAAAATGAATGGGAAATTCATCCCCATCCCCTTTCAGACAAAACGCACCCTTCTGAGAAAGAGATCACGATCCCCTAGCTAAGGGAAACTCATAACTAATAACTTTTTAAGCTAACCTGTTCCTCTTTTAGTATGAATTAACTTCAAGAGGAGTAATTTTTTGGAAAAAAAAACTCTAAATTATCCCTTAACATGATTCAAAGCGTTTTATTTTCAAATGAATACTACAGTACAGAACCCGTTATCCGGAATTCAGAAAACCGGAAAACCAAAAAACCGGAAGCAAATTCGATAAATTTTCCCGCCATTTTTTAAAAAAAAATTTCTTTTCCTCATAAAATTTTAGGATTTTTCTTTCTTTTTTGAAAGATGTTAACCTTACAGTCATTTTGGAAATAATCATTAGTGCATTACATTATCGTTTTTTCTTCTTTTTAAGATTATTACCAAATATTTTTTTTAGTTGGGTTTAACAATAAAAAAAACGGCTTTTGTACCGATTCAGAAAACCGGAAAAATCAGTTATCCGAAATAGCGGATAATCGGTTCCCTACTGATTACTAATTGAACAAAAAAGCTCGAACTTAATTTAGTAAAAAATATACTTCCACATTATAGTTGATTCCTCAAAGCTGCTATCAGTGCTTCTACAAATAATAAACAGACTTTAGACCACTTCATTATTTTGATAATAAATTGAAAATAACTATGAAAATAAATATAAAATTGAAAAAAATAATAAATATAAAAAAATTTGGAAAAACAAAATGCAGTTTTGTTTCTTTTCCATAACATAATATACTGACTTTTAGAAATTTCTAACTTTTCTATAGTCCTGTACTACATATAAGGTGTATTCAGTCAATCAACCATAATGTATGTTTATTTTTTAAAAATGGACATCACGACCTACTTCGAAGACGCCCGCTAGATAAAACTTTTCGTTTGTATAAGAATTTACATTTCTTTAACCCATGCTAGATGAGTGAAGGTTCATTCTCTATTAAGTAGCACAAGTTAAATTATTACCATCACACTCTGTTACAGAAACTATTTAATAACTCGAAAATATGATGTTAATGTTTTAAAACTCTCAGCTGATTCTAAATTAAACATTTTAAAAAGGAAATTTAAAATTATATATTTCAAACTATTTTTTTATGTAAATCCTCAATGCTATGTTATAACATTTAAACTTTTATTTATGTAAAGACAATAATTCAATACATCATTATTCAGAAAAGTAAAATTTTTAACTAATTAAATTTTGGACTAAATTTATTTTATCTTTGAGACTAGATTTTTGGTTTCGAATAAAATTGTATTTAACAGATATTTTGAAGTCAGACAAACTTAGATGTAATCATATTATTAGGGACTTTGAATCAGTAGGTTTTAAAATTAGTTAAATATTATTGATCTTTTTAGTGAGAAATATATTTATCCCAGTAGCCTAAGTGTTATATACAAGTTATTTTATGTATCTAAGCTAATTGACTTAAAAATCATATTTAATAACTACTTCTTGTTGCTAATCTGCAAAAATTGAAAACTTAAAAAAATTATAAATTTCAATTGATTATTAACATTTACCTAACAATAAAAGACATTAAACTTTTTTAGCTTATTTACCTAATATAAATGAATTTTTTCTCAATTAGAGAAATTTTCATTACAAATATTAATATCAAAAGTAATTTTAGATATTAATTTGGTTTTTTAACCACTTGGTACTTTTTAAAAGAAAAAAGAAACATTTGGTAATAAAATTACAACAGCGACTTTTATAAAAGCAATTATACAACATGTGTTAGAAAAGATTTATTAAATAAAAGATGCTAAAAATAATTTTAATAAAAGTTCCTAGAAATTTTTTTTTTCCATTGAAAAAAAAAAAAACATATTAACTTGAACTCATGATTCTAATGATAAGAAAATAAATAACAATTTATATTTTAGTCAAATATAACTGATTGTAAATAAAGTAATATAATCCAGTAATCAAGATAAATTAAAACCAATATGAGCATGAATGCAAACATTTAGATCCCTATTATTTAGAAACTATTTTATCACATACTTCAAAAGCATGGTGTGTCAATAGTATAAACCAGTGGTCGGCAAAGTGCGGCTCCAGAGCCGCATGTGGCTCTTTAGTTCCTTAAGTGCGGCTCTATCACAAATATCCACGGAAGGCGCAATAATATTTTCATTTAAAAAAAAAACTTGGTAAGAAAAAAATTATATCTTATTTTGATACATTAAAATTCTTCTATAAATCGAGAACATGTATAATTTTTTGTTTAAGTTAAAAGATGGATAGGTATTTAAAATTTTATATTGTTGTAAAAAGACGTAACAAACATCGAGTTTAATTTTATTAGTTTTCGTAAACGTTAACACAAACCATCATGTACAAGCTACCGGCTGAAATTATTCGTATGTTTACGGCGTACTCCGGTGTGATACAAAGGTACCACAAGCATGACCGCGCATACTTTTTCTAAAGTAGTGGGCATTGTTCGCATTAACAAATATTTATTAAGTATGAAATTTAGTTTTATTTAGTGTAATAAAAGTTTACTAAAGAAGCAGATTTAGCTCCCAATTTTTTTAAAAATTGTTGTAATGTTCATATTTGGCTCTTTGGCCGACCACTGGTATAAACCATCGGTCGCCAAACTTCTTTGATCATCGACCCCTATATAATTTTTCAAAATCTCCATCGACCCCCACAAAAGTAATTTTCTGTTAATTAAAATAAAATTCTATTAGATACTGTGTTTGTACATTTATTTTATGATTTTAAACAATTATTAAAGTAATAGTACATTGTGTAACAATGTTTTTATGAAAAGTATATTAATATTGAAATACCTTATTATTAAATAATAAGTAATTATGCATAAGTAGATATAATAAATAAAGTAACTAAAGATTTACTGCTTCTTGATCAATGAGATGGGTGTGCCTGGTGTTTTTTTGCAAGGTTCGCTATATTGGGCTCGAAATTGGTAAATTTTGTAATTTTCGTAAAAAAATACAAAGTGTGCTATAGTTTTGTCGCGGGCTGTACTAATCCATATTATTAATGTTTACCTTCTTTTTTGTGCATTGATAATTAAAATTGATATCTAAACCAAACTAATAGTTTTATCGAAACAATAACTAATTATCCAAAATTATAAAAGTTTTAATAATGACACTGCAAATATTCAACACAGTTTACAAAAATAGCTGAAACTGCGTATGATATTTGCATTTGTAACGTCAATGCTCGTCACACGTGACATTTAGACAAGTGCACATATGCAAATGACTCATAAACTGTACTGAGTTCGTGCCACTGCGCGGTGGTACGTTAATACTTGTTTCACCCCAATAAATATACGTTTATTAATTTATCTTTTATAAAGAAACTGATATTGAGTCAATTATAAAAAAAATTCACAAATTTTACATACTTAATTAGGTATGTGTGATTCGCGTATTGAGAACTTTTTTTTTCCAACCCACAATCGATCCTTTCGATTCGGATCGACCCCCGCTTTTGTTAAATAGACCTCTGGTATAAACAATACTGTATTTAGTCATGTGACATTTCTGAGAAAAACTCTCATTCCACTATACTCTGGGACCGATCAAGACAAATTCAGGCCCAAGGTCCACCAAATTTTCCAGGCCCCTTACAAAATATTTCGAAATTAAATTTCTGAAGAATAGTCCTAATAATAAAAAAGGAATTGATTAAACTGCATGATTCAAGAGAAACATTCTAAGAAATTTTGAAAACCTGCAATTGAAGATTATTTTTCTAAGATAAAGTTTACGCATCTGTATATTAAAGCAAAATATAAAACAACAAAACAATGTTGTGCCAAAATAAAAATAGTTTGGTGACCACAAACAACAATTGAACAGTGATACAAACAATTGAAATCAGTGAACAATGCTAAAAGTCACTGATTAGCTGGATTGTTTTTTATTGTAAGCTGTAATTATTATTTTATTTAGTACTTAAACCAACACAAAGCTAGCAGACTTTTCATTAGATTTAACGATAAGTTCAGCATGTATACTGAGATATTAAGGTTATTAATTACAATTTTTATTTTAAAATACACGCAAAAAATATCCAAAAGTGCCAAAATTATAGCTACTCATAGAAAATTAAAAACACATTTAACTAATAATTTATTTAAATATCACACTTTTAAAAAATTAAAACTCATATTCAGTGCATTCACTTATGCCGTTGACGTAAAAATCGCACCAATTCAAATTTAGCTGTACTTTCGAATTTGATTCGTGCAATGTTTACACGAGTTTGGTTTATCACAATATAAAGAAAATTTGAAATAAAAAAATGCATTTGTTTGAGAAAAGTTGTTTCTTTCAGTATTTAAAAAAATAGTAATATAGGGGTTTTTTTACTAATTTTTGAGGGCCCCCAGATAGTGTGGGCCCTAGGCCTGTGCTTATGGGGCCTCGGCGATAATCAGGCCCTGACAAAAAGGTTTCTTACCAGTGAAAACACAAACAGTAAAGTCAGCTTTTAAATATATATATATATATATTAAAAGAATGAGGTTTTTCACCAGTATGAATAAGACTACAATAAATTAGATGGACCTTAAGTGGAAAAAAAAAGAAAACTATTAACATAAACAAAAATATGGCTTTTAAATAGCGTGAACATGACTGCGACTAATTAAATATAATTCTTTCTTGAAAAAGCTTTATTACATATAGTACAAGAGTAAGGTTTCTTACCACTATGGTGAGTCAAACTACCAAAAAACTCTTGTTACATATTTACATATATTACAAGAATAATGTTTCTCACCAGCATGAGCATGATTGTGTTTTGTCAGACAAAATTTTTGTGTAAAATTTTTATAACATATGATAAAAGAACAAGGCTTCTCACTCTTTCTGTGAAACTCTTATTTCATATACTACATAAATAAGGCTTCTCACCCAATATGAACACGATTGTGTCGAGTGAGATTAGCTTTTTGTGAAAAACTCTTATTACATATACTACAAGAATAAGGCTTCTCACCAGTGTGAACACGACTGTGTGCAGTAAGATTACCTTTTTGTGAAAAACTTTTATTACATATACTACAAGAATAAGGCTTCTCACCAGTATGAATATGACAGTGTGTAGTGAGATTACCTTTTTGTGAAAAACTTTTATTACATATACTACAAGAATAAGCCTTCTCACCAACATGAACACAACAGTGTGCAGTGAGATGTCTTTTTCGTGAAAAACTTTTATTACATATACTACAAGAATAAGGCTTCTCACCAGTATGAATATGACAGTGTTCATTCAGATTCCTTCTTTCTGAAAATTTTTTATCACATATACTACAAGAATAAGGCTTCTCACCAGTATGAACACGATTGTGTCGAGTGAGATTAGCTTTTCGTGAAAAACTCTTATTGCATATACTACAAGAATAAGGCTTATCACCAGTATGAACAAGATTGTGAC